GATAGATAGATGGATGGATTGATGGATGGATTTGTCATTCAGTTGTTTCAGTCATGTCTGATTCTTTGTTTTTTAAAATTTATTTCTATTTATCAACAATTGCTTCCATATGCTTTTGAGTTGAAAATTTTTCTCCCCCTCCCTCCCCACCACCCTTCCCAAGATGGCACACAATCTGATATAGACTATACATATACATTCCTATTAAACATATTTTCACGTTAGTGAAGTTGTAAGTAAGAATTGGAACCAATAGGAGGAACCACCAGAAAGAGGAAACAAAACTCAACAGAAGAAAAAAAATAGCAAATAGTATGCTTTGATCTGCATTCAAACTCCATAGTTCTTTCTTTGGATGTGGGAAGGGTTAAGTTTACAAATATTAGTCATCGCACAACATGGCTGTTATTGTGTACAACATTTTCCTGGTTCTGCTCACTTTACTCAGCATCAGTCCAGGTTTTTCTGAAGTCAGCCTGTTCATCATTTCTTATAGCACAGTAGTATTCCATTACATTTATATACCACAACTTGTTCAGTCATTTCTCAATTGATGGGCGTCCTCTCAATTTCCAATTCTTTGCCACCACAAAAAGAGCTTCTGTAAATATTTTTGTACATGTGGGTCCTTTTCCCATTTATATGATCTCTTTAGGATATAGCCCTAGAAGCGCTATTGCTGGGCCAAAGGATATGCATATTTTTATAGTCCTTTGGACATAGTTCCAAATTGCTCTCCAAAATGGTTGGATCACTTCACAACTCCACCAACAATGCATTAGTGTTCCAATTTTCCCACATCTTCTTCAATATTTATCATTTTCCTGCTGTGTCACCTTGGCCAATCTTTCATTTTCCTGTTTTGTCATATTAGCCAATCTGATAGGTGTGATGTGGTATCTCAGAGTTGTTTTGATTTGCATTTTTCTAATCAATAGTGATTTAGAGCATTTTTTCATATGACTATAGATGGCTTTAATTTCTTCATCTGAGAACTGCCTGTTCATATCCTTTGACCATTTATCAATTGGGGAATGACTTGTATTCTTATAAATTTGACTTAATTCTCTACATATTTTAGAGATGAGGCCCTTATCAGAGAGACTGGTTGTAAAAATTCTTCCCCAATTTTCTACTTTCCTTCTAATCTTGATTGCATTGGTTTTGTCTGTGCAAAAACTTTTCAATTTAATGTAATCTTTTTTGGTTTTTTTGTGATCCCATTTGGGATTTTCTTGGCAGAGATACTGGAGTGGTTTGCATTTCCTTTTTCCAGCTCATTTTACAGATGAGGAAACTGAGGCAAACAGGGTGAAGTGACTTGCCCAGGGTCACATAGTTAGTAAGTGTCTGAGGCCATATTTGAACTCCAGGCCTGGCACTCTATCCACTGCACCACTTAGCTGCCCTGATGGATAGAAACAGACAAATAAATAGATGATAGGTAGATAGTTGGATGCATAAATGAATAGATGACTAGAGAAGACAGATAGATTGTAGACTACCGTCCACCTCTAAACATACTACAAGATAGGTAGATGGATGAATAGGTAGATAAGAGATATATAAGATAGAGATAGGTAGGAATAGATAGGTAGACAGATGGATAGAAATGTAGGATTTATGTACTATAGATTTAAGCTAGAAGGGACCTTAGAGGATTCTAGTGTAATATCCCTGATATTCTCATTGGTACATGTGTACAGATCTATCTCCGCACCTGTGAGAGTATAAGCTCCCTGAAAACAGGGTCTGTTATAGCCCTATCTTCATGTCTACCACAGCACAGTGACTGGAACATCCCACATCCCCCATGTCCCCTTCTCCCCATCCCCCATCTTCCCATTCTCCATCCCCCATCCTCCATCTCCCCATCCCCCATCCCCCACAGGGGAGGACCTGTGGTGCAGAGAGGTCTGCACTTGGGATTTCCTCCATGTGAAGAACACCCAGTACTGAATCCCTCTACACCAATACTGATTGGCAAGTCATCTTTACTTTCTATAAAGAGCTTCCTACAGGCTCAGGACCTTGGCTAGAGGCAGACACACAGGACGTGCTAGAAACTTGAAGCCATGTATTCCTGACTCTAGACTGACCTTCCATCCATAATGGTAAGCCCTTAATAAATGCTGAATGGGGAATTTAAATGAGATAAGATGCCAAGCATAAAGTGTTCTGGAAATTTTTTTTAAAAGTCTACAGAAAACAAAATTGTATTACATTCCACTGAATTGAACAAACATTTATTAAGCAGTGGAGATACAAAGACAAAAAAAAAGTCCTGGCCTCATTCTGGTAGGTGGTGGATAGACCCCCAGACTTTGCATGACCCTCCTCCATGTCCTCCATATTCCAGCCAATCAGGGCTTCTTGCTGTTCGTTGCATAGAATAGCCCATCTCCCACCTCCAAGCCTTTGCACAGAACACCCACCAGGCTTGAAATGTTTGTCTTCATCATCTTCATCACCTAGAATCTGTAGCTTCCTTCAAAGCCCAGCTCAGGGGCTATGTGCTGTTTTCCTCATTTCCCCCATTGTTAATGCTTATAATCAAAATCACTTTATAGTTACTCTGTGCGAATGGTGTATGTAAGTTATCTGTGTATATGTTGTTTCTCCCAAGATGATGCTGTTTCTTTTAGTTTTCATACCCCCAGAGCCCAGCACAGTTCTTCCCAGCTCTGATATTTTCTATGCTAAGGGCACTCCCAGCTCTGACATTCCCTGTTCTAAAGTCGCTCCTAGGCCTAACATTCCCTGTTCTAAGGCCCCTCCCAGCTCTGACATTCCCTGTTCTCAGGCCCCTCCCAGCTCTGACATCCCCTGTCCTAAGGCCCCTGTCAGCTCTGACATTCCCTGTTCTCAGGCCCCTCCCAGCTCTGACATCCCCTGTTCTCAGGCCCCTCCCAGCCCTGACATCCCCTGTTCTGAGGTCCCTCCCAGCCCTGACATCCTCTGTTCTCAGGCCCCTCCCTGCCCTGACATCCCCTGTTCTCAAGCTCTCCCTGCTCTGACATCCCCTGTTCTCAGGCCCCTCCCAGCTCTGATATCCCCTGTTCCAAGGCCCCTCCCAGCTCTGACATCCCCTGTTCTAAGGCCCCTCCCAGCTTTGTCATCCCCTGTTCTAAGGCCCCCCCCAGCTCTGACAGTAGGCGCTGATCAAGACCACTTAAATTAAATTAAACATGTATAAAGCAAAATAACGACAAGGATTTAAAGAGAGAGAGAGAGACAGAGATGGGGGCAGCTAGGTAGGGCAGTGGATAGAGCTCTGGCCTTGGAGTCAGGAGGACCTGATTCAAATATGGCTTCAGACACTTGAAACTTAGTAGCTGTGTGACCCTGGGCAAGTCACTTAACCCCAATTGCCTTACTAAAAAAGAGCAAAAAAATAAAAATAAAGAGAGAGAGACCATGAAAAACTGATGGGATGGAGGGTAAGGAGGGAGTACAGGCCTATGCAAAAATATGGAAGGAGGAGATAAGATGTTTCACCCAAAGAACCTGGAATAGTCCTGCTGGCTTAGAATATAGGGGCTGGGAAGCTCCCAATGGGGAACAGGGAGACTAGCAAGGGGGCTAGTGTGCTAGGCAGGATGAGAGGCCATGAGCACTTGACCTGGGGAGTGACCATGGGAGCAGAGAGGAGGAGACCCGGGGGAGAGAATCAAGGAGACCGGGCAATGAGTGGACTGTGCAGGGGCGGGGAGGGAGGGATTGAGGGATGACTCATTCAGGGGTTACTATGGAAAACTCATTAGTCGATCAACAAGCCTGGGACAAGCAAACCCCGAGGTGTATCAATTTCCTGAGCGAATGTGAGAGCTCAAGGCTTTGGCCTGGAGGGGGGTGGGTAACTACCACAAGACACCCACAAACAGGGCTAGAGAGAGGGTGAGAGGGCAAGTGGGGGCCCAAAGATACCACCTAGAGGCTCAAGAACAGCTCTTACAGTCATAGAGCAAAAGACCCAGGAGGGGCCTGAGAACAGGGGATGTCAGAGCTGGGAGGGGCCTTGGAACAGGGAATGTCAGAGCTGGGAGAGGCCTTAGAACAGGGAATGTTAGGCCTAGGAGTGACTTTAGAACAGGGAATGTCAGAGCTGGGAGTGCCCTTAGAATAGAAAATGTCAGAGCTGGGAGGAACTTTAGTCTAGTGAACATCAGAGTCAAAAGCAAATTTACTAAGAGAATATAGAGTTAAATGTGGACATTCCTTTCCCCCTCTCCTGACTCACCTATTTAAAGATGGACAAACTCCAGCCCTGCAGAGAAGGGCTTTCCCCAGAGTCAGATTGCAGGGTGGGTCGCATGAAGCCACGCCCACCTGGTCCCAAGCTCTCCCTCCCCTGCTTTCCAGCCCTCCCTCATTGGAATGACAATAATCTCCTTATGGGTAGTTGACTCCCCTTGTATCTGTAACCCCATCATTTAGCAGGTTCCTGGCATACAGTGAGTGCTTAATGGTGGCTTTACCACATTGTCTTCCTCCTCCCTCCTCCTCCTTTATTCACCACCACCAGCTCAGCTGACCCCAGGAATAGCAGCAATCCCCGTTGCATTGCTGTGTGACCCTGGTCAAGTCACTTCCTTCTGCCCCTGCCCATTCGTTGGACAAGAGGTTCTTCACGGTCCCTCTGGGCACTAAGACTCTCCATTCTACCTTTTGTTGGGCCTTCGGACAGCGTTCCGGCCTCACCTCAAATCTCTTAATCTGGACTTTGTGGAACTCCAGCTTGCTCTCCAGGTCACGGATCAACGCTTCCTGGCGGCAGACAATGTTGCGATCCACCGTCGTCTTCTCCAGGTGCTCGATGCGGGACTGAGCAATGTGCAGCTGTGACCAGATAGGATATCACAGCAAACCAGAGACCATAAATTAGCTGGAAATTTCTGAGACTTTCTCAGAAACTCGGCAAGTATACAGACACAGGGTTCTGTCCCATCTGTGCCCACCCCTCATGACCAATTTCCCAATATTCCAGTTGGGATCTGACCAGGGGAAAGCAGAGCCTGACCATCACTCCACTGCATGCAACACTTTAGCTTTTGGGATGGCTATCTATCCTACAGGGCAGCAAATCTTGTGATCCATTAAGACCCCAAATCATTTTCAGGCAAAATGTCAGTGAACCGGGTCTCCCCTAATGGTAAAGTTGATTTTTTCAACCCAAGTTCAATATTTTACATTTTTCCTTATTCATGTCTACCTTAGATTCAGCTGTAGCTGTCAAGGTTTGTGTGTGTGTGTGTGTGTGTGTTGTTGTTGTTGTTTTTTGAGGGGCCAGGGGCCAGGATGCAGCCATACTGACTGTCATCTGATACACTTGCTATCTTGCCCAGCTTTGTGTCATCTACAAATTCAATGACAAGCCATGTAATATGTGATGATGTGTGGCCATGGATGTGTGTGCATGTGTGCATGTATGTACACATGGACAAAACCCCAGCTGTTATGTGTTCCATGCTGTAGTTTGGGTAGTCTGAAGGGCAGTTTTGGTACCAAAATATATTCTTGTCTGACTGATTCACTGCTCAAGGCAACAATTTGGCCAGAGCAGATTTTCTGTCCTTTAAGCTGTGCTTTCTCGGAGGGGCCAGTGGAAGCTGAGACCTCCCTTGCCTCTCCCATCCTATCCCAAGAGCAAGCCCAGGGCCAGGGCCACAGAAATTTTACCTTTTCCTGGAGGCTTTGCTTCTCCTTCTTTGCTTCTTCCAGGTTCAGCTGCAGTTCCTGAATCTGTACAATGTCTTGGGAAGACTGCAAAACCCAAAACTCCATCAGGGCTGGGAGTCTGGCTGCTAACCAGACTGCCTACCTTTCTCCCTCCCCATGCCATCCCATGAGGTTCACCAGTGGAGCTAGAACTTTGTGAGGGAAATGCTATTATTATCCCCATTTTACAGATAAGGAGACTGAGACACAGAGAAATGAAGTGACTTGTTCAGGACCACACAGCCAGTAAGTATCAGTGGCCAGGCTCAGTGTTCTATGTACTACACCACCTAACTGCCTCTGGTGGAGAGAGGACACACACAGGATATACCTTTATTTATTTGTAATCCTATGCGTTTTAGGCATTTGAAAACATAATTCGGAGAAGGAGTCCATAGGCTTCACCAGACTGCCTGACAAATGGATGAGCTCCTGGTCTAGTCCAGTTCCCTCACTGGTACCAAGGAGAGAGGTGAGACTCATAGAGATGTAATGGCTTATTTAGGGTGTCCTGGTCCATGACCAGGTTTCAACTATCCCTCACTTTAGCACATGCTCCATAAAACCAAAGAACGATATGAATCTCAATATACTAGAAACAGCCACCCAGAAGGAAAGCAATCACAAGCTAACTCAGAGAGGGTCATTCCAGTTGACTGTAAGCTCCATGGTGGCGGACACAGTTTCATGTTTCATGTTTGTCTTTGTATCTACAGCACCTAGAGCAATGCCTTGCATGTAGCAAAAGCTTAATGAATATTTGTTGAAATATAGATGGAAAAGGGGGAAAGAGAGAGAGAGAGAGAGAGAGAGAGAGAGAGAGAGAGAGAAGAGAAAGGGAGGGGGGAAGAGAGAGGAAGAAGAAGAAGAAGAAAAGAGAAGGAAAGAAAGAACACAGAAAGAACAGAGAAAGAAAGGAGAGAAAAGAGAGAAAGAATACAGAAGGAAAGAGAGGGAAAGAGAAAAGAGATAGAGAGAGAGAGACAGACAGACAATACAGAAAGAACACGGAGAGAAATGAAACTGAATGTTGTGTAATCAAAAGATTAGATGATATGTAGCTAGGTGCTGTAGTGGATAGAGCATTGTACCTGGAGTCATGAAGACCTGAATTCAAATCTAGCCACTAATACTTACTAGCTATGTGACCCTGGACATGTCATCTCATATCTGTCTACCTCAATTTCCTCAACTGTAAAATGGGAATAATAATAGCACCTACCTCACAGGGCTGTTGTCACAATTGACTGAGATCATATTTGTAAAGTGCTTAGCACAGTGCCTGGTGCATGGTAGGTAATTAACCAATGTTTAGTTCCTTCCTGCAAACACGGTGCATATTTGCATCCTTCGGGGTCTTGGGCACTGTGAATATCTCTCATGGCACCTCCCCAAGATTGCCCAAATATCCATCCACCCACCCCTGGGAGCCCTGACTTCTGGCTGAGCCTCCTTACCTGGGCGATGAGTTCTTTGTGTTTCTTCATTAGCTCATTTAGATCCTCCTGGTCTTCATCAATACGTTTCAGGAGGTCGGCTCTCTCCAGCTGCAGCCGATACAGCTGCTCATCAACCTGGTATGAAGAAGGTGGAGCGTTCTTGAGATTACAGGGAAAGTGAGGCTGAGGGTGGGGGACGCCAGGGGAGGCAAAGTCAGGGAGCACCATGGTCACTGCGGAGTTCCCTTTTGTCAGTGACGGTTTCCTCCCCTTTAAAATAAGGGAGTTGGAAGCAAAACTCAATGTTATGAAATTATAATGGCCAAGCTTAGCCCCCCACCAAAAAGAAGATGCATGGGAATACACCTCCTTTCCTTCTTTGCAAAGGTAGTAGTCTGTGGGTTTGGAGCTCTGCCTACTACATGACTTGATCTGTTGGCTAGTTTTGTTGAACTGGGTTTTTTCCCATTTTTTTATGCTTTGTCATAAGGGATTGATGCCTGGGGTAGAGGTAAAAACCAGGTGATTCTCAGCATCTTCTGCCTCCTTTCCTGTCTCTGCCAGGTCACTGCAAGAGGTCATTCAGCACCATGTGTTTACCTGGGTTTCCTGCTTGGTCATGGCCAAAGTATCCCTCACCAAGTGAAATGTCCACTGGTGATAAGCATCTCTGCACTTAGTCAGCAGATATTACTGTTGTCAGGACCTTACAGAGTTTGGATTCTAGAGATCCTTACAGAGTCCCTGCCACACCACAATCTGCCACAGTAACGAGGGAGGAAAGGCTAGGGATAGGGACGGCACCCGGGATTTCCTCCTAGATTAGGAAGCTCCCTCCACCCATGTAGGTTCACACCTTCCCTGTCCTGCTGTCAGTCTTGGTCCTAGAGCACTGCCAAGAAAGGCTAAGTGCTTGCCCAGTCATTTCCAGGATGTGTCAGAGGCAAGATTTGAACCCAGGTCTTCCTGGCTCCAAGGCCATCTCATTCTATTCACTACTTACTCCACAGACATCAGAGAAGGACTGACAAAAAGTCTATGCAATGACATCCTCAGCACCCTCTTCCACTTGCTCATTGTACAGCATCTTTCACTGACACACTTATAACCTTAGGGCTGGAAGGGGCCAGGCCAATGTGCAATGAGCTGTTTCCAAGGTTGACTCACTCAAGAGTCCCTTGTATAGTGTGTGAATGTGTGCACATGCTGGGGAGCTGGGGGTGGGAGTGGTGGGTAAATACCAGATTTTTGTTCCTGGTAATGTTCTCCAGCTCACTGTGCATGTTCTCCAGGTCCTGGGCCAGCAGCTTCTGAGTGTTCTGAGCGTCTGCACACTTGGCCTCGCTTTCTTCTAGCTGTACCAGGAAAGCAGGAGAGAGAGAGGAAGGAAGGGAGGGAGGGAGGGAGAGCCAAGGTGGGGTCATGGGGTGGGGAAGGAAAGATGAGAGACCACTGTGAGATCCAACCTCCTCCAGTTTCCAAAGCTGCCTCCTCAAATTAACTCCCTCCCATCCCCAGCCAGCCCTTCGCCAGCAACATTATTTACGGTGAACTCCTGAGTGTTTTCACCTATTAAATTACATTGTAGTGCAATTGAAAAAAAAATTATTTTACCCTCACGGCAGTTAGTTTCTATTTTATAGTCAAAACGGCTCTCGATTTAATGGTTACTGCACCATGAAATAAAGCTGCAAATGAGGCTGGGCAGGCTCTTGAAGGAAGGCCTTGCTCCAATGACCATCCTCGCTCACTTTGAAATGGGAGCCCTTAAAACAAATCATCGGTTCCCTGAGTGCAAGGCCAGCACTTTTCCCCCACCCCACCTCAAGGGCTGGGCTCTGCTCCTGCCATCTGCCCAGAAAGTCAGACCAGAAAGGAAGGAATCCTCAAAAATAGAGAAAAGGAAATGAAAGGACATTGGGCTGGGGTTTGAGTGCAGTCTGGCTATGGACGTTCTTTATAGTCACTTCAATCAACAAGCATTTATTTATTAAACACCTACTCTGTGCCGGGTACTGCTCTAGGCAGTGGGGACAAAAATACAATGAGTGAAACAATCCCTGTGCTCAAGGAATTTACAAGGATATATTTAAGGGCATCAGAATAAAGACCAATAGAGTAGTTTAGTACAAGAGAGTTGGGGGGGGGGGGTCAGGAAAAGCTTCGTGTAGCAAGAGATGCTTGAATCAACTTCGCATATGGAGCACTAGATTCATTTTGTGATGCTTCCTTTACTGAAGGATCACATCGGGTCATACATTTAAGATGGAAGAGGTCTTGAAGGCCGTCTAGTCCAATCACCTTTATTTGATTGAGAGGCTGGAAGAAAGAGAGGATAATTTACTAGTCTAAGGTCACGCATGTATGGGAAATGGCAGAGTTGGGATTTAGGCTCCTAGGTCCAGAAATGGAAGGGACCTTGGAAGCCACTGAGTTCAACCCCTTCCTTTGGCCAATGAGGAAACTGAGGCCCAGAGACATTGAGTAACTTGAACTGGGGCACACAGGTAGCATGTACTCTTTCCATCATGACACATTGACAGATTAGAACTGATCCAAAAGAGAGGATTGAGAGGATACAGAAGGCCATGACATAGGAGGATCTGTTGAAAGAATCGGAGACATTTGAGAAGGAAAAGAGAAGCCTTGGGAAGGAGGCCGAGGCACAATAGCCATCTGCAAGTATGGCAGACAATAGAAGGCAGGATTTGGAGTCAGAAAGACCTGGACTTGGGTTGTGTGACCAGGGATCCATATGGGCCTCAGTTTACTCATATGCAAAAAAAATGTGGATAAAATACTAATAATATCTGACATTTCTACTTCTCTTTAATGCAGGCAAAACACTATGTCTGTCTGTTTGTGTATGTATACACATATACACACACACATATATGCATATTGTGTCATTTAATCTTCACAACAACTCTGTGAAATAGGGGCTACTAACCCCATTTCTACAAATAAGGAAAAGCTAAGAATCCTAGAACTGTAGAATTTGAGTTGAAAGAGGCCCAAGTGGCTATATAGTTCAACTCAGCTATTAGCACATTTTTGTTGTTTAGTCATTTTCAGTCATGTCCAACTCTTTGTGATCCTATTTGGAGTTTTCTTGGCAAAGATACTGGAATGTTCTCCATTTCCTTCTCCAGCTCATTTTACAAATGAGGAACAGGGTTAAGTGACTTCCCAGGGTCACACAGCTGGAAAGTATCTGATGCTGGATTTGAACTCAGGAAGATGAGTCTTTCTGACTCCAGGTCTAGTGCTCTATCCACTGCACCCCCTCATCCCAGTCCTTCCTCCCTCTTTCCAAGCCCTGACTCCAGGCTACAGAAATTTGTCCTGGTTATTATTTGCCTAGATAGCTAGGCAGCCACAGCCCACAGAAGCAAAAGCCTGTCAGGCCACAACCCCATAGCACTAGAGCTGCAAAGCTCCAAACTGCTGGTGCTGGAGCCAACAACCCTGCGACACTAGCAGAACCAGAGCCAGGGCAGAGAAACCTATAGCAACAGCAATGCAAAGCTACGACTTGCTGGTGCCAGGCCAAAGAACTAAGGAATAGAGGGACAGTGAGAAAGGCTGTCCAACACTCCACCAAGCCTGAGGAAAAAGGCAAATACCCAGCTGAGTCCAGTTCTGACCACTCAAAAGTCAGCTGGGGTAGAGATCCATCCTGGTGAAACAATGACTTGCTCAGTGTAAAAGAAGACTGAGATACTTTGAGATTCAGCCTCCAAGGAAATAATCACCAGTGAAAGACTTACATCAACTGATCATAGTGAAGTGAACAGAACCAGGAAAACTTTGTACACAGTAACAGCAATTAACAGCAACAGTTCCATGAAGAATTGTGAATGACTTAGCAATGCTCAGCAATACAACGATCCAAGACAATCCCAAAGGACTCATGATGGAGCATACTATCTGCCTCCAGAGAAAGAACTGATATGGATCCAATACAGACTGAAGCAGGCTGTTTTTCACTTTCTTTCATTTTTTCTTTTGAGTCTTCTTTTACAAAATGACTAATATGGAAATGTTTTACATAATTGCACATGTGTAACTTATATCTAATTGCTTGCCCTCTGAGGGGGATGGAGGGATAGACTTTGGAACTCAAAACTTTAAATAACATGTTTTTAAAAATTGGGGAAAAAAAAGAAAGAACCAATGGAGATAGTGTCAGTATAGATAGTATCAGAAAGTGAATAGGAAAAAATAAGCAGGTGGGGTGGGGAGAGACTGAAATTACTAGAGATCTCAGGAAGAAAGCTCAAAGACCCTGAAAATAAGCAGATAAATCAGAAGGGAAAATATTAACAATAGAAGGCAATGTGGCATCCAGATTTAGTAAGCAAGTTCAGACATCTATGAATAAACACTGCAAAGCAAAAGAAAATTACCCAAACTTGATGAGAATGAGGAACCTGTGGAATTTCAGGAGAACATGGAACTACAACACACTGTCCCTGAGTGGTTCAACAGAGAAATAAGAATTATAAGAGCAGAATAAAAAATAGGCACAGAATAGAAAAAAAAAATTAAATCTACAATGACAAGCTATACCAAAGAAACAAAAGAGAACAATAGATGGGGGGGTGAAAATATACAGAAATGAAGGATAATCTAGAAGAAGAAAAGCAAAAAAATCAAAGAATATATGCTTCTTATGGAAGTAGAGCATATATATCTCTAAAACAAGATGCATAGACAACCTATAGATCATAGTTCTCCTGGAAGACCACAAGAAGACAAAAAACTTTAACACTACAATGAAGACAACAATAGTAGAGAACTACCCAGAACTTCTGAACATAGAAAATGAAATTCCTGATTGGAAATCTGCAGCTCATCCCCAGAAAAAGAAAAGAAAAAAAAAACCAAGGCTGTAAACTCCAACCCACGTAATGGTTAAATTTAACAATTCAACTTAGAAACAAGTTCTACAAGCTACCAGGAGAAAGACCTTCAAATACAAAGGAAAGGACACTCAAATAATGCAAGACTATTCTGAACCCACTAGAAAAGGGAGGAGGGAATGGAATAATGTGTTCTGAAGAGCACTGGAGCTCAGGATGCAGCCCAGGGTGACCTATCCTGCAAATCTGAACTTAGCCATGCAGGACAAAAGACGGACGTGCAACAACAAAGAGTCTGAAACATTTTTAGAAAGAAACTAGAATTGAAGAGATTATTCGCTTCTCAAACAGAAATGCAGGAGGACTGAATAAGGGCAGCAGGCAAGGACAGCAACAGGAACAGAGTGACAATAGACAGATCAATAAGAGACTTCTTTCTAAATGTACAAAAGGAGATGGGGTGAAGGCAGAAATCTGGTAGAAGTAACTGGACAAGGGGCATTAAGGACAGAACCTGGTGATGCAGGTAAATCAACACTTTTTTGTGTGTGGGGGAAGATACAGTAAAGGGAGAAAGGAAAGCAGCAGGACAGCGCAGCCTGGGGAGTGTCATGCTCAAATTGAGGGCTAGGGATGAGGGGAAGGTGATCCCTATGGTCTTAGGAAGAGAAGATCCTGCAGAAAAATGGGTGAGGAGGAGTGGAGGAAGGATCAAAAGGAGAAGGTTAGGAAAGAAGCCTTCCTTTGATGGTAGGAGGGGGGTTCCATTGATGAAGCTGCCATGGCTGAAAAGAAATGATCTGTGAAGGGTGATGAGAACCCTTCATTGGGAGGGAGATTTGGTACTCCCTGCATTGGGAGAAGGGAGTTGGTTTGCTCAGGGTCGCACAACTGATAAATATCTGAGGTGGGATTTGAATGCAGGTCTCCCTGACTTCAGTTCCAGCATTTTGTCCCCTAAGCCAGGCTGCCTCACAGGATTACTGTAAAGCTCTGGTGAAATTATTCACTATAAGGTTTCCACTTGCAAATGAACCTCCATGGCTGTTACTATTGGAGGATCTGTCTCATGGAAGAGGAATTAACTTTGTTCTGCTTGGCCCCAAAGTGTAGAAGTTATAGAAGGCAAATTTCATCTCCAAGTCAGGAAAACTTCCTAACAATCCAATCGACCCCAACGTGAAATGGTCTGCCCTGGGGGAGCGGGGTTAGTAGGGTCCCTCTCACTGCAGGGCAACCCCTTGTTGGAGATGTTGAAAAAGGGGTTCTTTTGAGACCCAGGCTTCTAATGACCTTTCCAGTGCTGAAGTGGAGAGACTTTGGGCAAGTGACAATCTCCCTGGATTTTGGTTTCCTATTTAAAATAAAAGGAAGAGGTTGACTAGATTTCCTCTAACGATCTCTTTTAGCTTAGAACTATGACCTATGATCTTTTTAACTCCTTATTGAAATAATAGTCACCTCTCCGTGCCTCAGTTTCCTTATCTGTA